ATGTATGTGCTCTGAAACTTGACGAATGGTGAATATGTGGTCGATACAGCCACGACCAGGTCTGAAGCCAGCCTGATTTTCTCGTGTTTGCAGTTCACGAGTCTTAGTTAGGCGCCCGATAATTATTGAGGCTAGTACTTTAGATGCTATGTTAGTCAAAATAATCCCTCTATGGTTATCGCAGGATGATTTTGACCCCTTCTTATATATTGGGACAATCAGAGATTATGACCAGTCAGATGGGATTAAGTCCGTTTCCCAGATTTTAGCCAGAATATTCGTCAACATAATCGCTAAAATTGGACCACCATATTTAAAGACCTCTGGAGCCAATGCATCAGGACCAGCTGCTCTTCCTCGTTTCAGATTACTTATAGCCTTTTGAACTTCAAGTAGGGTTGGGGGCCTACTTCAATGTTCCATTCAGGTTTTCTGGGAATAGTGGGTAGTTTTGCAGTAGCTGAAGGCCAGCTAAACTGCTCCTTAAAGTGTTCTGCCCATTGTTCTAAACGTTTGGGTTGAGAGCAGATAAGGGTTCCGTCTTTTTCCGAGATTGTCTCACTTACACTTGACTTCTTAATTCCGGTTTCTTTTATTAGTCTGAATAGTTGCCTGGTGTCCTATATAGCGGCTGCCTTTTCCATCTCTTTTGCTTTCGTTGCCCACCACTGCTCACGATCGTTTCTTAGACTTTTAGTTAACCTAGATCTAATTTGTTTACGCTCTTCGTCGTGTTCAGAGCCTGATGGGATGAGTTTACGCGAATCCATCAGTGAAATAGACTTAGAAGAAATCCACTGGTTTTTTGGAACCCTATGGTTTAAATAACTAATAGATGTTACTGCTGTTTCCACAGCTGTTCGTGTGTCTTTCCAAGCAGCGTCTGGGTCAGTCTCGTTTACAGAACTGCCTAGATGTGAACTCAGTTGTTTCTGGAATTCGCATTTGGCTTTCTCGTCCTCCAGTTAAATCCTAATGGGTCTTCTTAGTGTACTTTTCCTACGTCCATTGAGGCGCAGACAAATGCGCGCTCGTATTAAAGCGTGATCAGAGTCTAAACAAGTATTCCAATACGAGCGACAATCTTCTATTGAGCCTCTCCAACGATGACTGATGACAATATGGTCTATTTGAGTCCATCGTTGGTTTGGTGAAGGTGGTCGCCATGTTAGACGATGTCTCTCCTGATGCTTAAAATTAGTGTTTGCTAAAAATAAACGATTGTCTGAGCATAGTTGCAACAGACGATCACCATTATCGGTTCGTTGAGCCGGGATACAAAAATACTCACCTAAACATCTTTCTGTTTGATTTAAACTGCCTACTTGGGCATTAACGTCACCCGCTACGAGTTCTGTGTCTGAGCGCTTAGCTTTCTGAAGAAGCTCAGAGAGTTTTCTGTAAAAGTCATCTTTCACTTCGTCAGGGCTGCAGTCAGTGGGAGCGTAGGCAGAAACGACGAAAAGGCAACGACGTGTGTCCCTATCCTTCCGAGTTCTTACGGAGCCATTTAGCCGGACAGCGCACAGGCGATTGTTAACGGGGATCCATTCTAATAGTGCCTGTTCTGCCCTTGTACTTAGTGCTATACCTACACCTGCAAGTCAACGAGAACTAGTCAACGGGTCGCCAGATACACGGGGGGTGTATTTCGTTGGCTGTCCATTTCGGCGAGGTGAGGTCAAGTGAATGACCACACTAGGATCTTGTATGCGTGTTTCGGAGACACAGCATACATCAATGGTACGAGATTCTAGGGTTTTAGCTAAGGAGGCCTGTTGACAAATTTGACTTTGGGTACGTACGTTGAAGGCTCCAATGTGTAGTTTGGAGCGAGGTTTTAGTAGACAGCGTTTCGCGCACTAGAATCGTTGGCCATGGTGACACTTGAGGAGGAAACCGGAAGAGGAAGTTTAGTGTTGAAAGTCAAGGTAGAAGGAATAGTAGGCATTGAAGAAGGAGATTGATTATGAACACAGTGGTCTTGAGTGCTGTTAGAGGTATGAGGGCAGTTATCACTTCCCGGTTGCCCACACCGTGGAAGGGTTCTTCTAGAGGTACCTGAAAAGGAAATTGGGTTACAAGTGGTCTTAATGACCTGAGAGCGTGACCGCAGTGCCCAAGGGACAACTACTTGAGGTCGGTCACGCACGACCTTTTTGTGTTAGCTCCGTTCTTCAAAGGACCTTACCGCCGGAGACGGATATCCTTGGGATAAGGCGAGTTGTGCATTTTTAGGGTCGACATTTTCTAACCCTACTACTCCTTGTGGGAAGGTAGCGTCGCTGTCATGCTGGTTGTCTGAAGGAAACACCTTACTGCTGTCACATCTCTCTACAGTCAGCAGTACGACTTCGCCTTCGGACCTTGGGTTTGCTGCTTTTAGTCTCACCGCTCTTCAAACGACATGCCTGGTATGGTAGAACCTCGAGGAACGATTGTTCAGCCAGTATAGCTCGATTGAATCATATATATATATATATATATATATATATATATATATATATATATATACTGTTATCGGAAACGAGTTAAAAATAAATTACCAGCCAAAAAAACGTGATTTTGTTTCATGCATAACAGATTTATTTAGTTACGTTTGTGACTACTTTCTACATCTATGTAACTCCTTTCTTCAAATACATTGTATTCCTCATTCTTCACTCCGTGACTTTCTTGCTCATAGCTTAAGCAAATGAGACAAGTTAGTTTATAGCCATCAACAAATTAAAACAAACAATTCCTAGGACAGAAAGTTTATAATGGAATAAAGTAATTAAACTATCTACTAAAATAGGAATTCAAACAAAATGGACAAGTTAAAAGAAAACAGTAATAGATAAGGAGATATTTAATTGAATTAATCAATAAATACATAAAAAATAAAGGTCAGCTTGGATAGTTATGAAAGTATATTCACCAAGATAATTTATACAGGAGTTAAATATTACTTTGTGATAAAATGAATAAAATGTCTTAATAGTGTCACATATCAAAAGAATGAACTTTATAATTAATTGTAGGCCTAATGGTTTATCCTTACGGAGAGCGTAGACAGCAACGATTTAAAAAGTCTTAGTTTTGAAGAAAAGTCGGTCATAAACAACGTGCAATGTAGTAAAAATGCATATTGACACAAGTTATCCATCTTTACTTCATGCATTAAGGAAATGAATAGGATTAAAAGCATGGGACATCAAGTAATAATATTAGTAGTAGTGACAAACCAACTAAGTAAGAAATATTGTTTCATACTAATAAGTGAATGAAGTTAAGCAATACAAACAATGGTTTCATATTAAGCTCATGAATTGCAGGAAGGTAACGAACGAATGCACTTACTGTCGATTTTGATCAGTTTGACCTAAACTTTCCAACCGTAGATCGCCCTTATCTCAAAAATTCTAACCAATAGGTTATAACTTCCTAACATAGTTTAGGCTTAACTATAAAAACACCACTGTCTGAGGTAAATGACGAAAAATTAAATTTACCATTACATCATTACTCATTCAATTATAATGTTAAACTATCCTCAAATATGTCAACATCTCCTTTTCTTACTTTACCTTATTTTACTCGTTCGCTTCTTTTTATAACATTTCCATCGTTACAAGATACATATATTTTATTTCTGAAAAGTCTCATTATATCCTCTTTTTTTTTTCTATAAAAAGTGAATCACTTGTTCCCGCTACTTTATATTGATAAATAGATGATTATGAGCAGCAATATAATATTGATATTAACTTAATATTAATTATTTATAAGGCAATAAATATATATCATATAATTTCTATGCCAAATTACGTGATGTCATCTTATATAGATCAATTAAAGTAGAACAAAACTCCTACTGATTGTAGGTAGGTAGGTAGGTTGTTAAAGCTACTTTTTTATGATCTAGTTATTATAATCGAAGTCACATTCCAATAAATAGATTAGCTTCCAGTGATATGACTCAATGAATAAAAGTTGAACTCTACGACAAATGAACCAAGAATTTTTATGTAAGTTTTGACTAAATTAACAAACCTATTTATGCAAACAATCATCAGATTAACAAATCTTTATTAAAAAAAACCACTATCCCTTTTAATACCTATACATCCTTGTGACACACAATACAGATAAATTGTTGAATTAAATCCGATTAATTTTTCTTTTTAATCTTTAGTCAAAAAGTTTATTCATTTACACTTCATCTATACTAATGATAAATAATTTAATGATATATTACTATTTATAATTCATTCGCTCTCTTATTTTACTCAATTCCTATTGTTTTGGATGTTTTTCCTTAAACACTTAACAAATCAAAAGTAATCTATTTGATGTATACACATTCCATTCTATTTATAATGGTATTGTATTTCTGATGAATGTTACTTGTTATATAATGAAAGATAAAATTATTTTTTAAATGTTTAAGATACGGTGTTAACACCATGATTATTCTTATAAATAAATAACCCACTTGTCCTGTAAATTGTTTTTTTTTCTGGTTAGCGTTTTTTTTTAGCGAGTTAGTTTTCTACGGGATGGGGTCGCTAACCCCATGCCCAACCCTCTTCCTTTATCCAGGCTTGGGACCGACAGTAGCTCCTGGAAGGGCTACAAGCGGAGTTGTAAATTGTTTCACTAGAGTTAAAAAAATCTATCAGGTCTTACAGTTATAAGTGCAGTCAGCAGTACGGAATATACAGTTGCTTTTTATTGAATCCATCTAATAATTAGAAAAGTGGAAATTTTTTTTCTCTTGTTTTCAATAGATTTTATGTGCTTAGTAATATTAGAGTTTTTGTAAAAATAAGGGGGTTTTAAAATTTGAAACCTTTATATAAACCATTGATGAACTTTTTTAAATGTTATTTTCAGTTTAGCTGTTTAATTATGTACGTTACAATACCAAATTAAATGATCTTAATAACGGTCTAAATGTTGTTTGATATATATATATATCATTAAATTGTTCCATTGATTAACTTTTATTCATGTAGCTCCCCACATTATGCTTGTCCAGAAGTTATAAGGGTAAGGGATTTTTTGGATATTTTTGGATAATATACCTGCATGTGTAAATCAAAATGAACAATGCATAGAAATCTACCCCATTGTCAATTTATATACATCACATTTTATACGTAGATCACTTATTTGTCGTTATTGTGTGTTGTGCTATACTGATTTGGACAGTTTCATTATATGCATGCAAAATTTGTGCATGGTATTCAGTTAAAACTGACTAAGATGGGTTATTCCCTTCTTTTTTCCCCATTCCATTTACTCTCTAATATATTTAGAGGAATAAATTTATCACTTTTACAAAAAGAGATTCGATTCTTATGAAAAAGGGATATATATATCAGTATCATGCAAATGTATATTTAAGTGATTATACTAGAACTTGGATTATATTTTACGTTTGATGTTCTACGGTTGAATTTACTATTCATCTGTTCTTCGTTGAACTTAGTGCAATTTCTCTCTGATATACGTAATATTATTATTAACTGAGTAGAATATTCTACGTATACTCATTTTCCATATGAACAAACTGTCAAGTATTTTTTATAGAATTTCATGTTGAAACCAAGATTTCAGATTACTCTCATCATCACATGTTTAAGAATCTAACCATACTCACAGGTGACTATTACACTGTCAATTCACTAAGATTAATTGTACTGTTGAATTTACCGAGAATTATCGAATCTGAGTTCTACACGCACTGCCGATTTATCAGAGTCTGAAAACCAATAACTTTGTTCATTGTAAAACCAGTAAATGTTGTGTTCTACCTGCACACGATGATTATTATAATTATGCCTCGAATTAAAATGTATGTAGTCCTCAAAGAAAATGTACAAACATCTTGATTAATAAAATCGTGTGGATTAACATTTACATTCATAGAGATAAACGGTGACCGAATGAGACAAAAACTTCATCGAGAATCAAAAACATTGAACATGGTGATCATCAAAAGAGCAATAGAACTGATCAAGTAGCTTGGTTAGGCATCCACATGGCTTACGATAAGCCATCGTATGTCATTGTAATGATATGTTCAAACTATCTAATTCACTTTTTTACATTTCATTCATCCGATTTCCTTTTTATTACTCAATGAAACCTGTTTCAATTAGTGTTTTCAATAATTAAAATGATATATAATCTATATTAATAAGTTTGTCGGTATCGATGCCAACGTTGGACTTGATAATTGCAAATAAATTTATTTATTTACTTAGAAGTGGTCTACATTAAGTCACAAAATGTCAGAAATACAATTTTATACTTATTGGGATATCACAAATAGTATATTTATCATGTAATATATCTGCTTTTGGTCTCTGATGAATCGTTTCATGTATATCAACGATAGGTGAAGTATTGTTTTCTACGAAAACTGAATTAGTTAGTGAGATGTCAAGTACACAATGTCGGTATCTCTTTAAAATTCATTGTATTATATGTCTTCTAGTGTATAAGATGAAACGTAATCATTTTAAAACATTTAATTATCCCAACCAAACAACCATTCATTTATATTAGTTGTTATTTTCTATTTGAGAGTTGTTAAAAGTTATAACAGGTTGTTGTTCAATAACACTGAAATCTAGGTAATTATTGATCTCGTAAGGTGGGGTTAGAGATGTAAAACCCTGAACCTAGGTTTCGTACTATTTAGCAAGGTTTACCAGTTATTTTGAGTTAACTGATTCAATCTCCCGTCACCCAGCTTCATAGTCAGAAACATTACCCCTCAGTTATTTTGATCGCGACTGATCTCCTGTAGGTCTATGATTTCACTTAGATTTGTGATCACATTTTGAATCGATCAATAGGATTTGATTGGGACTAAGAAGCACTTGACGTACATGACATTGGTCACTTTTTAATGATCAACCAGTTGTGAATTATTGATTTTATTTTCTTGTAGTCATTTATTATTACAATCAATAAACTCGATAAATGATGTCCAACTCAGTTATATTTTAGCTCCTTTAACGGTTAATCATCTTTACGAAATCTATCTAATAATTAGGGAAAATTATCGATTAAACTGACTTTATGATTATTCATAGATAGTTTCGTATAAAAGTATTTCTCATTTAAATATGTATGTGATTATTTTAAGAGATAAATTAATCAGATAATATAACTCGGTTATTTTAGTTAAATAGGACACTCAGTCAGTCAGCTACAACGTAGAACCAGGCATATATATGCATCCGTCCAAGTTGCCATACCTCGTTAGCACAACAAGATGAATACCGGATTCATAGAAGTAGTTAATTTAGTGGTAGTAGTATATAAAAGATATGTTGTATGTAAGGATATAGTATATGAAGGAAGAAAATTATGAAGCAATTTTAATCTCAAGGTTTAAGGGAAGATAAAGAGTGTATACACCTACACCATTGTGATCGATTCTGAGCCATGTCACGTAGAGTCTCCAACCATTGGTTACGATAGTCACGCGGACCCCAACCAGATAGTCTTCATGTACCAACATGGCTCAGACCAGAGGTTAGTGACTTCAAGCACTGATGCCATGTTTTGGTTTGGCCACCCCTAACTCTCTTCCAATCATCCCCTACACTAGTCAGCATTGCGCGTCGTGGTAATCGGTGTTCAGGCATATGTAACACATGGCCCAACCATCTCAGTCGATGAAGATTCATGACCCCATCAATAGGACACTACGAAATATATAAAATTTGAAGTAACTAACTAAGTAAATAAAACAGGAAAACAGATAAAACATCAAAGGTAATAACAAGGTTAAAGAATTAAAAGATAAAAATAGGGAAAAGTATTTGATGCCTTAATACAATAGAGAACCATATATTTTGTTTCATACATCAGTAAATATTTAGCATTAGTTCATTCAATAAACGTATTTATATAATACCATCAAGTCAATTTTCATGAGATCTCACACATAACCGGACAAATTCTTTATTAGCTGTTTTTAATGAATCTATGTCTTTTAACTGTAAAGTATTTTAACTATTCATTTGAAATAAATTCAAATTGTCATTAACGGTTGAGTAATTAATTTAATTTGGCTCCATTTTATATATCAAGTTTTAATTGATAGTATTGATTTTACACCCCTGTAAGGTAAATAAATATACCTATGAATTGTTTTATTGCATTTATTTATTTCATAAAAAGTGAAATGAATAATTTTTTTTTTAAAAAAAACAACAACACCCTCATCATTGAAATTGTACACAGAGCGTGATTTTTTTCTTTTTTTTTTCTCTTTTGCCTTGATGCAAATTTGAGATTGATTCAGTAACCATACATACATACATTTTTTTTCTTTCAGACAATTATAATCTATATCCATTTGTCTTCAATAGATGTCATTGTTATTTTCTAATATGTTTAAGATAGTAATGAAGTAGGCTAAGTTTTAGAATGAATATAGATTTCTTTTTTTTAAATATTTTTTATTGAATGCTTTACAAAATGCTTTCTTCGTATGGAGATACACTCTAATTTGTTGTCATTATTTCTATGTTGTATATTGTGTGATATTGTTTTGTGTTTATCAACATAACTAGTCATTCTTTTCTTGAATACCAATAATGATAATTACATTTTTTGTGTTATAATGTTTGTTTTTAGGGTGAAAAATACGATGGACGTATGGCAGATGTTTGGTCTTGTGGAGTGATTTTATATGCTCTACTTGTGGTAAGTTTTTTCTTGATATGTATGTTTTTGTGCATTATTATCCTTAGCGTATTCGATGTTACAGGTGTCAGGTTTTAGTTTCCAGTATAAATCTGATAAATGATCAGTAGATTTTTTCATAATTCTACAGTATATTATACCCATGTTTATTTGTAATTAGTCTAGACACATTATAAAATTATGTATAAGTCCTATAAATAGACTGCAATTTGTCAGTGTATATGGATGGGAATAAAATGTAGTTACAGACTGAAGTAGAAATATTAAGGATTAGTCACTGTTGTTAGCGCATGTTATATTATTATCTCTATAAGTGTTAATTGTCTTAAGCATTAAATTTCTCTAAGGTTTTTCAGTTATCTCATTCATGTCTTTAGTTACTTTCCACTTACGTATCTAATGTTCACTGCATACTTTTTATGAATCCGTTTCCGTAATTATATATTGTATGTGAATATAATACCTGTTTTTTTCCTTCTAATAGTATATAAAAATACATTCCACAATTAGTGATAATTTTCTTTCGTTTTATTACTCAATATCCATTTACATAGCCTCTAATTATTCTTAATCATTTTGCTAATTAAATAACAATGGTGGAGATGCTTTGTAGCTCAGGTGGGTGATTTTGATGTTGGTTTGTTCTCTGAGCTGGATGGTTGGGTCGTGGAGTTTTCATCGTCTATCTGAACGACATCATCAGCACAACCACGAAGATGCATATTAAATTAAAATGATCGCAATGATCAATTGCCATTGTGTATAAAACACAAGTTACCTGTGTTTCTCCTATTATTACTATTTAAAGATATTGAATACATTTCATTATTATAGGCGTTTAGTTGGTCCGTAGCAGTAGATCTCTTGAAAATGATAATAAAATAGGTTTTTTTTACATTTTGTCCTTAACATTTATCCACTAACAATACAACAATCACGTTTATTGATAATAACGACCATAACATTTAAATTGGATTTTAGTTTTAGTCAACACATGATAGTACATGATTCAAATAATTCATGCTTTTTTTAACTTTGATTATTCCAAGCTTTCTGATACTCACTACTGTTGTATGTTTATTTAAGTGTTTCAAATGGTATTTTTTTCAACTACTGGATATCATAAATCCAATATTTATACTTTTCCTTAATACAAATAATTTTTTCGCAGAATAAAAAACTATAATTTTTTCGTAAACAATCTTTCAACGAGAGGTTATTTCTTGATTAATACAAACCTATTTTATACAACTGGAAATACAGCAGCATGAAACCTATATCTATCTACAGTGCCTCTAGAGTTATTATTATTATTATTATTTAGACACATAAATATTGGTACAAGGAAGCACCAGATAGATATGCGCCACACAAATCTCATTTGATTTGTGTGAGGGCTGTGATACTGTCCAGGTGCCCAAACTGAAGCAGGTGGTTTTCTTAGACGCCACACTCGGAGCTTTTGACCTAAAGGTCTGATCCACAAGGCAGTGGAGCATCGTGAGGAGATGCAGTCCCATGGTCGCCGGTGAGCTACGATTGATTCATTCACCATTTGTTCCCTCAGTATACTGGAGCCCATGTACACCAATGGTTTGGAATGAGGGTTTCTCAACTCCCCTAGGTGAACTTTCCATGTCCACCAACTTGATTAAAGCGCTGAACTCAATTTCGTAAACAACAGTAATGCCACGAGAAGGCAGTGAGTAGGACTTCCCTGGCATAGGCTATATTTGCGTGGCCATGTGAGAGCATTTCGTGAGGGAGAGCATACTCTCTCCTATCTAGGCCATATCAGGGCATTTGGGGGCACATCTAAAGTAAACATGAGTAAAATAAAAAAAGCTCATAAAAAATCTTTAATAAAATTTATAGATATTTTTTCTATATGTGATCAAGTCTCTTCAATAAATTTAATTTTGAACGGTTTGACGATTTCAGCTAGAATACAATGAGAGTGTATAAGTTAGATGATAATTCTTCCATTCATATAAAACTTTGAATTTAGAAATCACTTCAGTATTTGACAAAACTAATTTCCTGTCATTCATCTAAAATATTGTGAGTTTTCGAAATCCCGAAAAACATTATGCTTAATAATATGAGATGCGAAAGAAATGGTTCAATAAATTTTGAGTAGTTTTTTTATAATTCATTCCTAAATAGTCATTTGTTTTATGATAATCAAGTCAGTTTAACCATCACGGTTGATTATTTTGGTGATGAAAGACAGTTTAGATTTTTAAATCATATATATATACTATAGGTAGTCATTGTGATTATAAGCAAAGATGGATAGTGGTTAGCAGTGGAATCCAGGACGCGCGTTTTGTCCTATTTAGGACCCGTCAGCTGGATGTACCTGCATCTCAGAGTTGAACACCAACATCAAATAAAACGAAACCCACTTCCTGGATTTCATTTCTAGCCACTATCCATCTTTGCTTATAATGCTTGTGGATTGAGACTATATCGAGGCAATACGCACAGTATGCAGATATGTCAATAAGAGACTGACCAGTTTCAATCCTAAACATTAATGGGAGATTCAGGTAAACAATACCAAGTGAAATCAGTGCGATTATTTTCCGAAATCTGTTAAATTTTTATCAGTAATTTGTCATTTAATTTTCTACTTTATTAAGTATACTTATCACTTGATCAGTTAGTTGTTTCTTTTTTCACAATAACAATTGGATAGTTCAATTAAGAGCTATACAGAACAATAACAGGGATTATTGACATGTTTTCTCATAAATGATTTGATTAATAACCAGTAATTAATGTTTATGTATGTTAAATTTCATCGATATACTCTGGGTGGTTATCATCATATCTCTTTCATCTCAATAATAATAATTTTTCCTTGTCAGAAGGATGCAATTTATGCTGGCTTTAGAATACATTAATTTATACATTTTAAATGAATAGAAAACATATCAGTAGAGGTTGAGTATTGTGAAAGGTTATTTATATTATTTTTTCTCCAAATTCTACTGTTTTTTTCCTTTCAAATGTCCATCTGAAAAGCATTTATCGAGTCTCAGTTTTAATCTATCTAGATTGCACTGATTATATTTCTATTTTCCCTAATGTGGTGGTCTGCCCACAGATTAATATAATGCTTGATTACATCATTTATTAGAAAGATTTAATGTATGTTTGTTTTTGGTTTCATTTTACAATCTAAGTGTATTAATTTTATGGAATAGGCTTAGTTATTCTCAGGTAAGAATCTACTGAATTAGGAGTCACTGTTTACTTTGTCAAATAATCACTGTTAAAGTCAGTTGCCTATTAGTCTACCATTCATTTTCATTAATTTCTTCCCAGTTGTCTGTATAAATATGTTTTAGTATAGTGTTTAAATACTAAACTTTTCCCTGTACTTATTTATTCGTGTTCTCGTGTTCTATTACAAAACTCAATCCATTGTTGTTATACTTGCGTGATAAATCTCTAAAATATCTTAATCAATTTACAATTGAAAGATAATCAATCTGAGCAATTAACTGTTTTTTTTTCAGTTTATTTATTAGCCTTATAAGTGAGAACTTGTTAAATAGTTGTTAAACTAAAACACGCTATTACGAATTCTTTGTGATCTTGCATTAACTCTCATAATACTTTTCTGGATACTGCAAAATCAATATGGAACCACTGATACTGCATCAAAATTACTTATAATCACTTAAATATCTATAATTACTTAGTCTTTTTCAGAGTTCTATACTTTGTACCGAGTTTAGTATCATACATTTTTAAAATTATTGTAATTCAATTGACTGGTTTTCATTTTATATAAATTTCAAGTGATAAGCATATGATGAGCTAATGTTCAAATTCTATTCTGCAATCTATGCTTAAGAAATAATAAATAGTTACAAATGTAACATATCGCCTAAATATAGCTCATTGATGTTGCTTGTGGGACCAAGTCTTAAAGATATGATGATAATGACCATTGTTTTTGTTCTATATGACCTATTTCCTTGATCAATAAACTTCATCAGCCTGGATCACAGTTTAAAACGATCAATAAAAAAAGATCCATTTTTTTGGTTTGTATATACATATTACTACTAGTCTGTTTATAGACTCAAAAATGAATTTATACTTTAGTGGCCCGGCATCTGACTCCAGTTATATCGTATGATTGATTGTTATTAAAATATACATATCGTCTATCGTCGTATATAATTATCGACTTAATCCGGATTAGTGAATAACGGAATTAAATAAGTCAAATACGAGAACGAATTTCGAATACTTATATTTTGTACAATCGTTGATCGAGACAAACGATCGAAGAAACGAAGCGAAATAACGCGAAGTAGAGAAGACATGTGAGCCAACTTGATTTAATCAAGCTTTAATCAACATTTATAGGCACACAGAAATAAGCTACAGATATGTGATGAGTAGAATAAGATGGGGACACACATACGCTCATGTAAAAACAGTCAAGGTTGATAAGTAAATAGTCAACAAGGTCAAAACGTGAATGAAGAAGTATGGGTAAATTGGCCTGTCTGAAAGCTAGAATAATTTATGTAGGCTTAATACAGTAACCGACACTATAATATTTCGAGGATTTTTCAAAATATCTAAGAACTATCTTTGTAATGGGTTATCATTAGTGAAGATAGAAATATATAAATATATTTCATCATAGACTTTTGTAGAATTTCTTTTATAAAAATTTCCTTTTTTCAAATGTCTCATACTTTTAATAACATCTTGTGTTTGTTTCATCCCCTCTATTGCCCATAAAACTTAAGAAGTTCGTACTTCACATCTGCTTGTTACATTCGTCTACACTGAAAATCAATGCTTCCTTCAGATTCCACTGTAATCGGTATTCTACCACTAATATTTTCTTACGTTTTCTTTTTCTTAAAATAACAAACAAACAATTTGTCACTATTTTTCGGTTTACTGATTTAATAGAATTGAAAAGGAAATAAATAACAGCATAGACTTGATTTCAGTTCACACATTTAAATATCTCAATTTAGTGAAATGTTATACATATATATATATATATATATATATATATATATATATATATATATTTATATATATATATATATGTTTGTTTTAACGCTCAAAAGAATCGAAGGAAATTGTAATTCCCATTTAGCATTAGCAAAGGAACTGTGTACGTGACTTTTTGTATAGTCGATTACTTGTTCTTTGTTTATTTTTACTTCAAAATGAGAGGAAAATCAACACATTTATTGTTTGTTTGTATGAATATGTATGTGTGTGTATATACGCATAATTTCTAGTACAATTACTTTATTTGTCCTTTATCATTCACCTCATATTTATTATTTTTTATATATTTTATTGTAATTATTGATGTTACGTTTCCTCTTTTCTTCCACACACCAGGGTGCATTACCATTTGATGATGATAATTTAAGAAATTTATTAGAAAAGGTTAAAAAAGGAGTATTTCATATACCAGCATTTGTTTCAACTGATTGTCAGTCATTATTAAGATCTATGATTGAAGTGGATACACGTAAACGTATTACAGTAAGTTTAGTTGATTTTTTATTTTTTTTAATTTTTATTTTTTGTATGGTAAAAATGAACAAACTGTTTCTATTTATATGAACTGAATGTTTCCCTTTTTTTTTCTTTTTCTGAAATGAAGTTGAAATATGATTTGACATTTTTATAATTTTTATAATTTCATTGTCCACTTTTATTTAATATTTCTCTGTGTGTGTGTGAATACACATATATATTTAAAGAAATAATTAATGTTGACAGTTTTGTGGTCTGATATTTTATCATCATATATAAATGTACATTGCATAATCAACAAGGTGAGATGAAAATACAATCACTAAATGGATGATTGTATGATATAGTTGATAGATGTGTACTACTTAAGCTTCAATGTTTATTAAAGAGAGAGCAAGAGAGATGATTAGAGATTATTGGTTAAATATGTGATTGACTACTTATTTTACCTATATTCTATAATGAAAGTTATTTAATTGTTGATTTTGTGATGAATGGATATTGGTCAGTCTTTGTTTTGGCAACTTTAGAAAAATTGTTCTACAGAATTATAGAAACAACCATTTACTATATAGGTTACTTTTATTTTACCAAGAAATCTAAATAATGTTCAGCTGTGCTTATCAAACAAAAGTACACAATCTGTGAGTTGTAGCGTTTAAGTGTCGAAATAAGAAATCACTAATTTGGATGGATTAAACTAAATAAAATGAATTTTGGCTTGAAATATCACGGAATATGTTAAAGTGAATACAATATCATATGGTGAGAACCGAACTATCCAAGTTAGTCACCAAAAATTATTTAAAATACGAAGTATCGTCAAATGACCGTGATGTCTCCATTTTCATAGTCTAAATAAAGGACCGACTTTAGTCAAATAACTATCGAAAAACCAAAAAGCTCTAGGCATCTATTTTGTTTTAGTATGTGGCTCATCAATAGTGTTCATTCATGACCTGTCATTGGTAGTCTAACCATGGACCTTCTGCCTAGAGCGAGAATGCTTAACCTCTAGATCATTGAGCTAGTATCAAATGATGTTGCTTTCTAACTTCAATCAGATCGCAATACTATATGACCATCTCCCATCGCCTGTGTACAACTATATAAAGCTGTCTCAACAGGGTCGTACTCCAGTACCATGAATATTTGTCTTATTGAACAAACTTCATATCACATTTGCAATTTCTTATTTAAAGTATGGAAAACTAAAAATTCTTTAGATAGAGATACAATTAACTTATTCTTTTCAAGGAATTATTCTTCTAAACATTGCCAAACAGCTAGATATTCTTAAAAATCAATCTCTTTTATTGTAGATGAAACTTTGTATTGTAAGATTTTTTATACTTATTCACTTTTATACTTAGAATGAACTATTCCTTTTAAATATCATATTATTCAGTCGTGCTTGAGGCTTTATTTATGCGTAGTGTAGTTTTCTAATACTTGCCTATTTTGTTTTCTAAAACAAAGCAAACTATTTCTTCCTTTTTATTCCATTGATTGTATTTAACAAAAGAAATGAAGAGACAAATTTTGTTATTGATATTTGTTAATCAAGTTTACCTAAAGAAAATGGAAGATGGTCATTTAAAATGTCGTATGTACTTTTGGTATAGAAGGTTTAAATAAGTTATTACCTACTGACTTTAGCTAAACAGACAATGGGAAAAAACATTGAATAGTCGTTCCATCGTAGTATACGATTGTTCAATAATGTACGTCCACCACCTCAACAGGGTTCGAACTCAGGATTTTTAGGCTTTCTAATCAGCCCTTAACATTCATATCACTGAATTAGTATACAATCATATACATTTTCTAATTTTTGTCAGTTCTCAATAAAGCGTGACCATAATCCATTGCCATTGGTGAGTAACTTCCCCGCTGTCGATAAATTTAGACTTGACAGGTCACAGCTTTTCACTTGGACTCCGAGATTTACCTCTCGCAGTTAGCCACTAGTTAAAACATGATTATTCATTATATAAGTGTGTTAAAACTGTTAATTTATTTAATTCAATGATTTCAAAAACTGATGGATTTAAACTTGTTTTTAGCAAGTAAACTAATCACAGAATACTGTATTCAGCTTTCTCTTGTTAGTGAGTGAAATATTTGTTCGTTTTTCTTTTAAATACTGTGTACGTAGTTAGACATGTGTTTTCCTTGAAACTAAATATCAATATTACCTGATAGGTTATTACTTGTGTAATAACTCAGTTGGAAATCCATTTTGCTTCTATTTGTCTTGTATTTCAACTTTTATAATACTATAATACTGTTAAGTTTGTAATAAACAGGATAAAAGTTACTAATTTTTCATGCTCTGTTGAGGTTATAGATTGTTCTAATTAAATTCATCCTAGAAAGTTAATCCGGAAGCTTAAAAATATACAGTATAATATACAGCTTTGTTTCTGTTCCTTTTTTGGTAATCTTGTAATTTTTCACTAAACATATAAAATAGATAAATGAATCATAATACCATTTACTTCGAACCTTACAAGTGTATCTAATAAAAACGAAAATATAACTATCTTTTTTCATGTTTACTCTTCTGGAGAAATTTTTCTGCCAATTCCGGAAACTGTGTTTTGTCATTTACGCATCATCTGTACCACTGTTATCTTACTTTCATCCCTATTTTATGAATCCAATAATTCTCTTTATTCTTTCCTCTTTTCTCCTTATTAATAAAATGAAAATTTCAGTTTCTTTAGCATTTATCTACATTAAAAATCCTTGCTGTACTAAGCTTAATTGTTTTTTGTTGGGTTATTTATTGTTCGTTACTTCAGAAATCAACAATAAAACAGTTTTGTCATGGCAACCGTTTTCTTATCTCTCTTCTTTACTTATTCATCTACCTAAAAGTTTCTTTTTTCTTTGTTTTCTTATTCTTTATGTATTATAAATGGGATCAAGTACAGTTTAATATACATTGCACTATAATTGACTGTAGCCGCATAATTTGACGTATCTTTATAGTCTCATGATTGCATTTTTTTACATACTTTTTATCATTGATTTAGCGTTTTCATTTCGGTTAAACAGTGCCCTTTACAGCGAGTCCATACATTAATTGTTTGCATCTTTTGTTGTTTGGTAATATTTCTCTTTCTTGAAGAAATTTTTATTTTGAGGATTCATTTCAACTATTGTTTGTAAAATCACATTTTAGGAATTGAACATACAAAAGATTTTATAGAATGAATAGATTAAGAGTTTTTTTCTTTTTGAATTCATGAATTAATCTTCACAACATATGATGTACAGTTTAATCAATAAAGTTTTGAGTAGTATAGTAAAATCAAAATTAAATAATAAAAAGCTCGTACAACCAAAGATAAAATGCGGCCATTTTAAAAAAAATAGTTGACAATTGCGTTTATTATATAAATCGTGTCAATTGTGTTGATTTGAGTTTCAAAATGAGCAATGTACATTTATACCTTATTTCATACATGTCACTGTTTTAAGTCGTAATGAAAAATATCGTTCATTGTTATTAATCTTATCGGGAAGTTATAAATCAAAAAACTGCCATGTTAAAGTGGTTATCATGGGTATTAACTTTATGGAAGTTAGTGATAATCTTTACTATGATGGACTTCATTTTAGTAAATCTAAAATGATTGAACAATTCTCATTTAGATAATTGGAGGTACGGCTGAAGCTAATCACAATTATTGAACTGTAATATTATTGCGATCCTGTTAATTGACTTAGGTTAAAATAAATGGAATAGTGAGTTTCGACTGAGTGAATAAGTGGCATTGTGATGATCACGAAATTAAAGTCATTTGTGAAAAATGTTTTGCAGTTCTATGTAAATACTTTTCAGAAGTTTCGAACTATGGGCTGATACGATGGTTCTTTAAGTGAGATGACCATCTTTATTTGTGTGTACTTTGTTCAGGAATTCATGACCTATCACAGGAATATGTACAGTATTTTTTTTCGAAGATTTTAAATTCCCCAGATAGATTTTTATTTTATTTATCTAGTGCTATAAACACACTTTAATGTCTGATTAAATATTAGCTAAAAGCTAGTTGATTAATAGGAAAAAAAGTGACATGGTGTAATCAAGTGTTAATCGCTCATTAAACTCAAATTGAAAATATTTAGTCATGATGAAACAACAAACTTTCGACATCACTAGAATCAGATTTATTTATAGGGTTGGGGATGTAGTTTTTAAAATACCATGAAAGTTTGTTTATTTCCTTGAAACTTTTTTCTAGATGACAAAAAAACTCTAAATGTCAATCTCGTTACCTTTTCGAAATTTGAACTTACATTATGTCACATCATACAAACAAATGAGGCTTTTAATATACATTGAGATGTGTGTATATAAGTTCTTAATCTACAAGGTGCTTCAATTCCTTCTTTTACTTAAAACTTTTCTGATCAAAATGCTTTTTGTCTTTTCTAATTTCCTTTTTTAATAGTTGAAGGAGGTGCTGGAACATAAGTGGGTCATTGGGTGAGTTATTTTTACTCAATTTATTAATACTACCCCTAATAATATATATTACTTTATTTTTAATTGTTTATTGAACTATATTTGATTCACATAAAGTATTGTGATTTGACCTCCATAAATACTTAAAAGCTGACAAATACAACTTAATAGAAAAAAAATTTTTGCCATCAACACTAGTAGTCCCGTAGAACAAAAGAATTTTCAAATCGAATAAACAGTAATGGTATATTCTATTCTCAATAATCACTAGGTCGATAATAATAATATCAGTATCATTCAAAGGTTTTCTTAACTGTGAAGAAACATGAATGACTTAAACTTTTTATAATATGCTAATACCTGCTGTTCTCAGTAGAAAAGAAGCCTTTACCATTAATCTAACCGGGATTATTTTATCCAAACCAACCATATTTAACTGTGTTTCATTTGTAAGTGTGTAAATTTTCATGTTTTTGATTGAGAATGATCAGTCTCTTATGGTATATGTTCACATGTCATAACATTGATACATGAATTGAACTCATCTGCACCACATTACAAATTGCTTAGTTTTCCATATTCATTAAAATACACAGAAGTACACACAAGTATGTTTCACAAAATGTTTAGTTGAAGTGACATGACATGACATTATTTCAATTGAACTAAAAGTATTCTATTTTGTGAGTTAATTCAATTCGTTTCTTTCATTATTCTCTGAAGGAGCGACTTACAATACGCTCCACATTGAGATATCACAGATTTAAGATTATTTTTGTTACTAAAAACCGATCATTTAAATGTAATACTTCTTGTATGTGACGAATAAAAGATATGAAGTTTTAACTGGAAGTAGTACATTTCCTCTTTTGATTGAATCATATCAACAAGTAAGAATAAAACGTCAATACTTATTACTAGTTTTTCTACTTTATTCAGATAAATACAAAGCAAAGTATAGATTATGGCGTAGATTGATATCAGCTCTACAAAATAAGTACAAAACCACATGTCAGAGACGGTTAGATAACATCAAACTGTATATATAGAAACTAGAAATATTGTAAATCAATGTATTATCAGTAGTCATGAAAAAAGTTGGAAAAAAAACTAAGAGGAATGGTTGAACTAGGAAAATGGTAGAAAACTGTAAGAGTAATAGACCTATTTATCTATCTACCTACATATACATATGTTTATATGAATAATACGAAAAACTCAGTTGCTTGTATTTGAATATATGAAATCGTTAATTGATGAACTAGCCTTAATTATGATAATACTATGGTGACTGGTTAGTAATGTATGTAGTTTAGTGAATAAAAATAAATATGATATCTTACACATTATATACTTTTTCTATCCCATTAGCCACAATATTATAAAGGTTATGGATTTTTTATTGTTTGCATTATAAGTATGTATTATTGGTTTCAGGTGAATCCTGTACTTTATTATGTTTATTTATATTCTAGAAAATTACACTGAAATTTACGATGTTGATGGGATTTTTTTTCTATGAGACTTTATAAACCCCCATTTACTTACTTAGATTTGAAATTTTTAGCATAAGATCCTTGTATTTTGTTTATCTATGAGATTTGTCTAATAGCCATAATGTTCTCATCAGTATAAACAAGAACAAATCTCTGACTAAACTGATGTAACTTGAATGTTGCTTAAACCAGCACATAACTGAAGATACAAACTCGGACACTAAAGTAGGGAACTAGTGAATTTTCATTAAGGGGCTATGAAGATTGTTAAGTGTCGTTGATTTCAATAAAATTTATCAATTCCCACAACCCCTTGCTGACAGTTATCATGTGCTCACTAGTGACTGCCTTCGAGAGGAAAGTCCTGGACTCCTAGTAAAAAGTCGTAAACAGTGAAGCTAAGCCGTATCGTGTGTGTGTGGCAGTTACTCACCAAAGACAATGGAAAATGGTCACGCAACAATGTGGATTGACGTTAGACATTAACACCATTGGATTCCCACTCAATAGTCTAGAGGCTAAGCGTTCTCACAAGACCAAAGTTTCTAGTACAGATGTTCATGGGTGTTCACTGCTGAGGAGTTCCATACTAGGACTAAACAGTCATTCACTGCTTTCTGATTTTCAATGGCGATCTAACTTAGATCAGTTCATTATTTTAATGAAATTGGTTGATTCTCGGTTAAATTTTCGATGATATATTTAAACTGTGGCATATAAAGAAACTTGTTTAACTTTTAACTTAAGAGTTATAAAGTAAGCTTACTGATTAAAATGAAGTGAGCACCCATAAGTCTTTTATGTTATGAATCTTTTTTCAATCATTTGAGTGTAATATATTCAACTGTAGTTGGTTAATATTATCTTCAAATGCTGTTTTGAACAGTTAAGTCAACTTTGATTAAATTTTCTTTCTATCAGTGGAAAAAAATAATGTATTTCGGCATAAAATAATTTTGACATATAAATCATTATTCGGTCATATATGATCAATATAGACATTCCTTTTGTTTATATTTTTTTGACAGCAGATATAATGGTTTCAGTTAACTGATGTTTAACAAAATATCTTAGTATTGATCAATTGAATTTGTATATGTAACCATTTACCTAGTCTGCATAAAATGTAGATCAGACTACTCAAACTAGAGAACGCTTTAATTGTTTCATCCTTGTTTGATACTTCTCAACAGTTTTCACTCGTTACTGCCCTGATGAATACAGCATAGTAATTTACGTGTTGTACTTGGTGAATCTAAAAATCTTGAGCGTTCTTCAAGATCTCACTAATAACAGATGTTGGTTTAAACTAAGATTTGTTATCAGTTTATGTAATCGTCGACTATTGAACTTAGCCGTATTGTCTAAACCATCTGATTCAATTTCTTGTAATTGAAAAGCAATCATTTACTGGAGATCTTATATTCCTTAAAATTTTTAGCATCAGTATTCCTTCATACACACTTTTTATTGAACTAAACTGTCAATGTCCAGTCTTCATTATCATCATGAATACTATTACTACTTTAGCTACTTATATTTTCATCTCTTTGTTCGTATCATATTTAATAATTTGAGGTAAATCATATTTGTGCAAAACTACTGATTGTAATTGATCAATATTTTGTATCTTTCATTAGTTATGGATGCTATTATAGTTCGTAGGGAAAATTTCTTGCAAAATAAACGCTAATATATGTTGATGGACTAGAAAATAGCTAATGAGAACAAATATTTTTTTAATGGAGTTGAGATCATGAGCAAATTGAAGCTAGACCACCATCGAAAACCTGGAAGCACTGCTTGACGGCCGTTTCGTCCAATTGTGGGACTCCTCAGCAGTGCGCATCCACGATCCCGCCTCACGAGATTCGAACCCAGGACCTACCAGTTTCGCGCCATAGCATTTAACCGATAGACCACTGAGCCAGTATCCAACGGCGTTAATGTCTAACTTCAACCAATCCACGAAATTGTGCAACCATTCACCAATGTCTTCAGTGAGTTACTTTCTCACAATAAACCTGTTTGAACTCCACTGTCTACTGCTTCTCACTAGAACTCAGTAAGTTAAGCGCTCGCGTGCGAGACTGATTGGTCCCGGGTTCGAATCTCGCAAGGTGGGATCGTGAATGCGCACTGCCGAGGAGTCGCACAATAGGACGAAACGACTGTCAAGCAGTGCTTCCAGGTTTTCCATGGTGTTCTAGCTTCAATTGACTCATGACCTCAACTCTATAAAATTACTAAAATCTCCACCAAACCCCTTCTGATAGCAAATATTTTCTTTATAATCTTACTAAATTTGATCAATATTTGTCCATTTAACACTGACATTGATTACGAATTTTAAATAAGAATATTAGCTTTGCTAATACATCAATAAATCTTGTCTTTTTAATAGTATATAACATTAAGATAAATCCTTACAATTTATCAGTAAAATGATTACTTTCCAAAATAAACTTTGGTTATTATCACAACATGGTGACAACAAGGTTAATCAATTAATCATAGAATTTTAAGTTGATTTGTTCAATATACAATTAATTCGGAGTTTTATACAGCTAACTTAATTTGATCATTTTATTTGGAGCATAAATAAAATAAATCCATCATCTGATGAAGTTGAGATGGATAACAGCATTGATGCACAAGACATGAAAAATAAAGTAATTTAATGCAATTCAAATCAGGTCACATTTATGTAGAGGGAAAATTATCTCTATGTGGTAAGATAGGTGTAGCATTAAATAAAACTGATAAAGATTAATGTGTTACACATGGAAACAAAATATTTGAGTTTAACCCGGTGTGTAAAAAAATCCGTGAATCGTTAAAATGTACCATGACAAAGCGAAATTAAATCAAAGCAATAATTACTTTCTTTCTGTTTGACAGAATTTGTCGCTTCAAAGCTAAAGTTTTTATTCATCGTGTGTCTTATTCTGACAGCTATTTCAAAAATATCCACCATGTGCCTGGCGAGTGCACTTCATGATATGGTATTTCTATTATTCATGAATTCCTAGGTCTTATGCTTTTATTTATTTTTTTATTTAAACACATAAATATTGGTACAAGTAAGCACCAGATACATATGCGCCGCACAAATCTCATTTGATTTGAGTGAGGGCTGTGATACTGCTCAGGTGCTCAAACTGAACCAGGTGGTTTTCTTAGGGGGCCACACCCGGAGCCTTTGACCTAAAGGTCTAATCCACAAGGCAGTGGAGCATCGTGAGGAGATGTAGTCCCATGGCAGCCGGTGACCAACGATTAATTCATACGCCATTTGTCCCCTCAGGATACTGTATCCCATATGCATCATTGGTTTGGAATGAGGGTTTTCCAACTCTTCTTGGTGAACTTTCCGTGTCCACCGACCCGGTTAAAGCACCGAACATTCGCTTTCCGTCTTCTCAATTTTGTAAACAAGAGTAATTCCACGAGAGGGTAGTAAGTAGGACTTCCCTGGCAGAAGCTGTATACACGTTGCCGTGTGAGAGCATTTTGAGAGGGAGA